GTTATTTAAAAATGTTTTCCAATGTAAAATTTCTTAGCATGTTCTAGTGTTATTAAAGGTTTCAAGTTTTATAATAGTTTTAGAATATACCATGTATCAAAACCTAAAATCAAATTTTGGCTTCTTTTTTTTTTGTGCAGTTTTAGTTTTTTTTTCCCAGTCATGGTACTTTTTATTTCAGTTAACAGTTCAGAAAAAAAATGTTTTAATTTAGTTTTTGTTTTAGTTTTTATTACCAATAATAACAAGATGTTTTCTTGTGTTCAAGAACTGCTAGATTACAGTAACATGCACACCAATTACAGTTAAAAAATGGCTCATACTGAATCTAACAACACATCATACATAAGGTTGTTGCCAATATAGACTAGTAGACAGCTCACACACTCATTGGATTTTGCAACAGAGCTGTTTTTAAGTGGATATTTAGATTTATGGCTGTAGGTGTCATGTGCTTTACAGGCATATGGCAGCAGGAGTTGGCAGATATATATACGGGCCCTGCTGTTGCTTTAAATGAGCTAGGATAGGATCATTAAGGATATGGAAGCTTTCTATAAGGTCTTCCTGTACTCTTCAACCCACTCCTCTAATCCCCAGACCTGATTATTCGGCCCGGACCTGATTAAGGACCATAGATTGTGTTTATCTCACATTTATGTCCTTAAAGGACACGCCGCGTGAGCATCAATACAGATAATTGCTTTTAAGCAAATAAGCAACTGAATGATCATTCACAAGCGAGCGGCTGAGCTGTCCAATCAAGATAGCTCGCCGAGAGACCCTGTGATTGGCTCCATCCTAAATACCCATTTATATGCAGCCAGTACTGTCTATGTCAGGGCTTTTCTGCCATAGATCTGTGAATGCAGCTGTGCTTACTCATAAGGTCACAAAAGACAGCATCATCACAGTGTTATTTAGTTCAATTAGCACCTCGTCTGCAGTTCGGTAACAAAGGTCTGTTTCCGTCGCGGGCTCATTATTTTTAGCCGAGGTTCTGTTGAATGGAGCTGCCATGATTTCTCCCATTTGTTTGACTGCTGCATTTGCGAGGCAGGCACAGACACGGGGCCAAGCGCTCGTCGCACCATTCGTCTCCACTTTTAGATGCGACCTCTCTACGACAGGCAGTACATTAGCTAAATGACAACTCTTCATTTCTGCCTCGCTCCTCTGCACATCTGCACCCCAGCATAAATAGCTGCGTTATTATCTGAGCAGGAAATGAAATGCTTCATACACTAATGATTTTTTGTGGGATACTCAATGAGAAGTGTCTAGCGAAGGGCGTGAGATGTGATATTTTTCAGAGTGAAAAATTTGTTTGAATGCAGTATGTGAAGAGTCTATTTACAAGCTCGGTGAACTCAGAGTTATTAGTGTTGGGGAGTAGATAACTAGTACTTGTGGTACTAACTTACCTATATTTTTTTACTTGTGTGACTAGCTTGACTGTTTCAAGTCCTATGGAAAACTACTTTTTTTGCTAATAGTATGACATAATGCTACTGTTTTTTTTGTTTAGTTTTTTACAATATTGTACACAAAGCTTTCTAGCTGAGTGAAATTGAGAAAGTGTCTCAAATATTTTTGTATTAATGAACAATATATAATTCAACCTAACAAACCTTTTTTTTTTTAATGTTTTACCAGCTTGTGCTTTTCTTCTTTACAATAAATGCCACTTCCATCCAAGATTAATACACAATTTTTTTCAGTAGCAGTGTTATTGCTACCTAAAACTATTAAAAAACATTTTCGCTAATTGAAATAAAACTGAATTAAAATATAAAATATAATTTTGGATGAAAAATAAAAAAAAACTTGACTTGGCAACTAACTGAAATGTTTTGAAAACCGCAAGTTTTGCCTCTTTGTCGCATTCTCTGTTTGAAAACCTGGAATTGCAGCATGGCTCGTCGCACCATACGTCGAATCTAATGTTCTGAAGAGTATGTGTGGCAGTCAGTCACCGCACCGGTGTGGATATTTACTGTACTTCGCAATCACAGATTCTAGCCTACATCTTGGAATATGACCCAAATAAGAATTTTCACCATATATTGCCATCTGAACAAGTAAGTAACAAGTCTGCCACGTTTGTTCTGACCAACTGAGGAAAAAAGCATTACAATAAATCTCGCTACCAATGGTGATTAAATCTAAAGGTCGGTTAGCTCATATCACATCAAACCGTTCAAATTATTATTATTGTTATACTTTATTCTCAAATGATTAATATTAACAACATCAGCATTGGTGACTATGAGTATAGTGTGTATTAGCGTGTAGATTTCAATTTCTGCACAGTCTAATCTAATTGTCATACTCTTCGAATTTCATATTAAGAAAATCTTTTAACCCAAAAAGCAAATTATGCTCGAACTTTATGCTCGAAAATTATAACGAACTGGTTTTCTTTAAAATACAAATCTTTGTAATCCCAGGCTATCTGTAATCAGAAGCACATTTAAAACTGGAATATAATTTAATTTCATTCACATGTGTTTCATAAACACATAATCCTTTATGGATTACAATCCGCCATCAAAATTATACATTTAATTATTCTGGTTGCTGTGAGAAAAGGCTATAAACGATCGGCCACCTGCAGGATCCTCACATGCGATAGCCTACTAGCCGGGACAACTTCTTTATGTTTACAGACGTGACGTAATGACGCAGTGCCATGTTCGAATTTCCCGCGAAAATCTACCCGTACCACTCAAATTAGAAAACATTATAAGCTAACCGCTGTGACTCGGGCTAAAGTAAGGCGATAGTTTTGAACACTGGCTGGTTATGTACTTGCTCAAATATTGATGTTGGATCATTTTTAACCAAAAAAAGTTACGGACTGCAGCTTTAAGTAAAAATTAGTTAAAATTAAAATCAGTTAAACGGGTCATAGACTGGCTTTTTTAATTATTTTATACTGTTGTCTGAGGTCCACTTATGACGTTTGCATGGTTTTTACATTTTGAGGCCGGCTCGAGAAACACGTTTTTATGGGCGTGCCGCATTGAAGACTTGGAAGTAAACGCCCACTGCTATGATTGGATAATAGTTTTGCACAGTAAACTAACTTTCTGTGTGTCTGTTTGACAAGCTACGCCCTCCTTCTGTGACTTTGGTTAGACACGTACACATAATCAGGACATATCAAGCGATCTCTAACAAAGCAATAGTGACACATAGTGCAAATATTTTTTTATTCACATAAGTGTGCTGCGCCATTCCTGTCGGATCCAATATAGACTGCACAGCATTGCTTTTTAATCTCAGTCTCTCTGCAAATCCAGCGTCGACCTATAAACTTCAACCACGCATTCCTAATATTTGAATCCGAAGGAAGGTTATGCAGCGACTGTGTTCTTCTACAACCAGGCACTGCACAATATTTTACTATCTTTAACGGCATGCTCATTGCTTGGTTGCTCGATCCGGTTTAGCGCCGTTACTTACGTTATTTCCCTACTATGTCATGCGTGAATCAGTGGGCGGGGTTACACAATTAGGCATTGATATTCTTCTGTGGAGGCGGTGTTTAACCTATCTATTATGTCATAGGCAGGCACATTCCATGATCTGGCATTAGCTGGGCCTGGTGTCAATAAAAGCTTTTATTTCAGTAACAAGGACGTTTTCAGTTCTGAAACTTACAGGATATTCTTTTAGTACGATTATCTCTTATATATCAAAAGCTCAAGTAAAAGTTGATTTCTCAATTCATGACGCCTTTAAAATAATAGCTACTTTTAAATATGAATAAATACTATAATACAATATAAATAAGACTAAAATAACATTGTTATGTACTTTTAAAGTAGTTATATCGAATATAATTTGACTTTTTAATGCAATGTGCGTGGATATTTTCGAGAATAAAGGTGTTAGTTTAGCTAGCACTTAAAATATGCTGCTGTTATTCATTTCAGTGTTATACAGACAGACAGACAGATTTACACAATCACCAAAATGTACACATTCATAACTCATAATAATTAGGTCTTTCAGCATACAATGTGTCTGTAATTAATTTCCATATTCAATTTTAGAATTGATTGATGCACAAAGGGGTGCTTCAGTCTAACTCTGTTTCCCTATAAATTAGTTTTCAGGTTTTATTGGTTATATCTTGTGTACATATTTGTAAATGTAATGCTGTCACCTTTAATATTTCTGTACCTGGTAAATTGTGCTCTGATTTCACAAGTAATTTATATTATTTTATAGTTATATATAAACAATTTTGTTGCCTTAGATTTAATGAAGCTGCTGTTCCTTAGCAATTTTTTTGTGTAGCTAGCTTCTTTTTCAAATTGGCAGCTTGACTGTAGTTTAACTATTTTGATTAAAATAAAGTAGCATGTAGCTTGGGGAGCTTTGGTTTTAAAGTAGTTTCTCCAGCAGTGGTAGTTATAGGGGTGTTGCAGGCGCGGTCCATGGCTGTTAGCAAGATGAAAGGAAGGGAACTAGAGATTTGATGTATGGTCTTTTTCACCTCTCTCACTTTCTCTCCCACTCCCTCATTCACCCTGTATTCCTTTGTCAGGAACTTGCAGTGTGATCGATTGATTTTAAATTTGTTCAGCCAGGGAATCAAAAGGACTCTTATGAAAAATAGATGTGTTGTTCTCACTTGATCAGATTAACGTGAAGTGAGTGCTGACAGAGAAAAATAATATAAGTGCCGGACCACACAACTCACTCGCTCTGACACACATACACAAACACCCGTTCAAAGATGCCTCACTGTTTAAATGCTGCAGAAATAGCCAGCATGCTGTATTCCACTGGAGCTAAACATCTTGCTCCAGAATTGTTTATCAGAGCCAGATCAAAGGAATGAGAAAGCCAATGCGCTCACCCACACAGACTCACTTTTACTAGAAAAGATCCAAACCCTCTGTGTTGGTTTTCTTCAGGAGAACCTGCTCATGCGGATCCACTTCCACATCTCAGATGAGACCAAGGAGGACATCTGCACGAATTGTGGAGCCACGTCGGATCCTCTCCCCTTCATTCAGATGGTGCACTACATCTCCACCACCTCTCTCTGGTAAGTGGAGGACCATGTTTTCATATCAACAGAACCCATCCATACAGTACATATGTTTCTGCTCATAGAGACTAATTAGCTCTGTTCCGAAACTTAGTGAGATGACTTGCTATTTACTGCTTACATAGACAGCTGCTTTCTAAGTCAGCATCTTAAAAACATATAGAGTGATTTGGAACTCTCTACATATGGTACGGCTCGGTACGGTTCACTTTTGGGGGGAGAATCGTCACTACCTGCGTCACTGAACTTGCGACGCAAACACAACAGAGCCGCTAGATTTAAATCAGCACAGCCAGCAAAGGATCGAACGCAACTATTTTGAACGAGCACACCTTTTTTAACAACCAAAAAGTGGCTGTTTCGTTGTCTGTGGAGGAAGTACAGACGTTCGTCTCGTTGATAGCAGAGGAGCAGATCCAGCAGGAGCTTGATGGGGCGACGCGGAATGAAAAAGTTTTTCGGGAGTCGCAGCAGTAGAGGCGGCGCAACTATAACGACATGTGAACAATTCCCGCCCACTCTAAAGCGATACTAAACTGCAGTGGAAACGCAAACCGTGCCGAGCCGAGTCGTACCACGCAGCGGATAAGCGCCAATAGACAGCAACTCCACTCAAATGGCGACATTGAGTGCTTTTATTGTTAGCGTGTTTGTTTCGAATACATACTCTAATATGCAAAAATATACACTACCATTCAAAAGTAATTTTTTTGAAAGACAGCAAGGATGCATTAAATTGAACAGTAAAGACAATTGTATTCTTACAAAAGATTTCTATTTAAAATTAAAAGCTGTTTTTTTATTTTATTTTATTTTTTACTTTTCATCGAAGAATCCTGGAAAAAAATATCACGGAAGCACAACTGTTTTCAACATTGATAATAATGCGAAATTCTTGAGCACCAAATCAGCATATTAGAATGATTTCTGAAGGATCATGTGACATTGAACACTGAAGTAATGGCTGCTGAAAATTCAAAACGGTTATTTTAAATTGTAATAATATTTCTCAATAATCCTGTATTTACTGGAGTTTTTAGCAAATAAATGCAGCCTTGGAATTTTTTCAAAAACATTACTAAAACCTATGGACCACAAACTTCTGAACAGTGTATTTAGTGCTTGAAAACAAGTGTGAAAAAAGCACTTTAAAGACTTTTAAGTGTCTTACTCGACAGCCCAGTGACAATAGCACCCCTTTAAGTGTACATTTTTCAATCAAGTTACCACCTCAAATCTTGAACCATTTGGCCATACTACCGCTAACATTATGTCTTGCCATTCACTGTGTTTTGGTTCACTTTGTCTTGTGCTGCAAAAATGATGGATACTCCTGCTGTTAAGGGTGATCTATTGGGACTTAGTGGGGTGTGTGACTGTTTGTATGCTGTTTAGAGGTGGAAACAGATGATTGTGGCTCCTGTCACTTTGATGTTGAGTGAGGGTTTCGATTTACACATCAGACTGGGAACTGAAGGTAACTTCCACAGTGTTTATTGGGTTTATAAGTGAGCCACCAGCTCCAACTGAATGCTAAAGCCGACCTGCTGGGCTGAAATGAGGCTCTATATCACGGGTTATTAGCTGTCATCGTACATATCAGACCTGTGAGAGCCATCTGCTAGAGCTATGTACAGGAAATATGCCCTCCCCAAACCTCTCCCTCATGTCCTATTCTCCCACTCTAGTGTATAGATTGTTACACACACGTGCAACCTTCATCTGCCATATTTTACAACTTTTTCTCTCTTTATCCATCCCCATGTTCCAACATATAAATCCCACGTATGTGCACACACACGTACTCTTACAGTTTCCTGAAAACGTTCTTACCTGCTGTGTTTCTTTCTGAGGGCTCCTCGACCCATCTGATGTTTAGACCATGATAATACCATTTCTCCAATGAGAAAGTGGACCACTGAGGACACAGATAGGACATTACCCATCACTCCCCCATGGAATCTTGTCCCCGGCCCCTTCAGTATGCCCACTTTATAGGACATCAGAAAAAAATCCCTATCATCATCTCGGCCATCGGAGGTTCCCACATGATTCAGAATTTCACTTTCTTGTTTTATTATGCATTGCCAAATAATCAAATAGTTTGACCCTGATTTGTGCGATCTGTCAAACTGTATGTGTACGTAGTTGGTGCATTATTTTGTAAGAATAATTGCACATACTGTAAAGGCACATGTAAAGCCACAATACCCACTTTGACGACGTGGTATTTAATTATTTAAAAACTACAGGGTTTTTCTCATTTCCTGAAAAGTAGTGGGTTTGGACGTAAACGGTTTCTGTTTATGTATTTGTAATATACATGTAATATATTTATAAAAAAAAATGATAGCATGATAATACATTTAATACATTAATATTTATTTATATCATACTTTGAAGATTGAATGTATTTTTTTATGCAAACGCACACAAACCTTTTATCATCTTTATTTTGCCTTATTTTGTGTTTTATTTTATGACTTATTAGGTTTCTAAGCTATCACTGAGCATGTAGGTCAGGGCTTTCATTGATACAGAATCATTTTACTTCACATGAGTCCTAAAAAGTTGGATGTTAAAATCTCACAAAAAGCACTCAAAGATCTGTTGTGACAGGCTGAAGAAAAAAAAAACAGATTTAGACATCCCTCATTGATTTCAGTATCGGATATGAAAACAACAATTCTCCAAGTCTGAAAGTGGATAATGGAAGCTCATGCACATTCAGAAGTTTCACTCTGAATTGCTAAATACATGTCAACCTTTACCATTTCACACACAGTTTGCTGCCTTTGCATTGCACACATGCATAAACGTGCAGTATCTGTCCTCTCTTGCGCTCACACACACTCTCACTCCCGCAGTAAATCGTGTGCTTTGCCACGTGGCCGTGTGGCAGTAAATGATAGTACAGTGTGTTCCTTCACTCCTGGATGTGTGTATCCTTGAATTCTCACACGATGGCTTTCATATGAACACAGACACTCTTAGTGGGAAGCCATTTCCACATGCATACACAAACTCACACCAGAAAACAAAGACTATGCAATATGCTCAAAATGTTAACTCAGTGTTTTTCATCCAGAAACAAAGATGCTAAACCAAGCTCGCACATAACACGGAAAACAATGGAAATTATAGGATTTATTTTTTTCTCTCTTTTGTGAAACAGATTGGACAGGTTTATCAGTATTGCAAGGCTTACATGTATCATTCTGAAAGAACTAATTTACAATCCTACACTATAAACTACACATCCACCCAAGCACGGCACATTTGGGATTCCAATGAACTGCACATCCAAATGAAATGCATGTTAACTTGTTATCATGTACATAATTTTATTCAAGGTTTGTTTATTCAATTGTTTGTCAGGTCACATTTACATAGAACTGTATTGCAGTGCAAATTACACAATACTTTTTAATCTTCCATGAGTATAAATAGATGACTAATTAAATGGAAACCTGAATAAATAAAGCTATAATGCTAAACAATAGTGCAACTTTTTTAATAGTTATATCAACACACCAATAAGGTAAAGTGGTTTAGACACCACAATCGATCAGAATTTTTCACGCAGTTCGTAAATCGACCATAATTTGTGCAAATCGTGCATTATGTGTCACTCTGCGAATGATAATTCATGTGATAGATTATATAGATGGATGGATATGAAGGAAACATGCCAGAAAAGAAAAAAAGAGGATGCCATCCACCCTCTTAACATCATTATTAATGTGTTGAATATGATGAGCAGTAATCTGAGATCATAAACACTGCATGCTAAACAATGTGAAGTGTGATTCAAGGTCAAGGTGGATATTTCAGTACATTAACTGTTTAATTGCAAAAAGGGCAGTATGTTTAGCAGGAAAAAGAACATATTAAATGATTTTTTTTTTTCAGTATGACCATCTTTTCCAAGTAAAGCACACTGAATAATGCTGAAAGTAAGACAGCTACAGAAAGGGTAGACCTGTCTGTCTGATGTAAATTATTGTCTGCGTATAGGTTGTATTTAGCCCTCGAGGGACTGTCTCGGCACATTTCCTCCATGCGGACATGCTGACAGACGCAGATATGCTGCATGTCAAATGGATGCTATCACGCTTAGCTTAAGGAAACATTAGCCTGTAAAGTACGCTGATTTCTGCACAGGCCTGCAGCTTCTGTCCTGATGGAGACAGGACAAGATGAGTGCTGCTACATTCGTTTCTAATGTCTTCTAGGGAATAGTGATCTACCGATGATATATAACATCTGTGTAGACTAATGTTTGTGGGCAGCTGAAAAAAATGTAACACTGAGCTGTATTATACTTTTCATTAAAGTTCAACATTATTGTATGTAAAGTTGTGTGTTTATTTTCTTTCAGTGGTGTTAACACTGGTGCTTGAGGACAAGTCTGTCTCTTATTCCCTCTGCTGCAGTAACCAAGCTGTGCGAATGCTGGAATGTAAGGAGAAGCCCACGCCAGACATGTTTGGAGAGCTTCTCCGCAACGCCAGCACCATGGGCGACCTGCGAAACTGTCCGGTGAGTATAGCATACACACACGTCTACCTGCTGGTTTTGTCTACCTCAGCGTTTTTCATACTTAACATCTCATTAAAATCTTCATATCTGTTTTTTAGATAGTTTAATGGTGTTTTGAATTAATATTTGAATGAATAAAAATTGATATTTTATTCCTTCATTTTATTTTTAAGTGTCACTCCTAGTCTTCCATACTACAGCAATATTGGAAATCGGATGTCTGGGGCAATGGTGAAATATACAATTTAGCTGATTGGTTTGGCCAATCAAAGTCAAGTATTCCAGAAAGTGTGTAATATTGTCCTTTAAAATAATAGCCTAATTTTAACCATCCAGTCAAATCCAAATTGGATCAAATTCTTTCATGCCTACATTATTTCAATAATCTGTGTCACTTGGTTTGATTTTGATTTTAAAATAAACTCTTTTTCAAGCCACCCAGATACTCCTTTAAGCTCTGCTGTTCACGTGGAAGCATAAAGACTGTTTGTTCTTTGCCCAAGAGAGTGTTTTGCTCACTTCTTCTCTCCTCTTTACAGATGACAGACCCCCAACACACACTCGCGTACACACACAGTCCTACCCTATTACACACCAGCTGCTGATCAGCTCTTACCACACACTGAGCACCCTCACCCCGCCACAGGAGGCGGCTGATTTCATCAACCCAAACACGCTCCAGCATCATTCAGCGTGCTTACAGAGAAATCCATGCCAGCTTTTTACAGTCTGATCTGTACCAAATCAGCTAAATTAGTCAAAATTAATTTGAGCTGAAATCCATGCTTTCATTTCCAGTGATTTTCCATTTCTCGATTCCCTGAAATGGCTTTATTGAAATGCAACTGAGATCGTTAGTCTGTAACGTCACTGCTCTTTAGAAGCTTAGTCATCTGGCCCTGAAAGCATGTGTTTGTCTGGATTCCCAGCGCTTGGCAGGACAGACTACGGAGCTGAGGCTAACAATGATCTCTAATGGGACACTGTGTGTCTGTCCCAAAGCTCAGCAGTGCTGCCACTGCTGGCTGTTCATTGGCTGCCTCGCTTGTGTGTGTTTGTCTGTGATGGAGCGACTGAGGCAGAGAGAGAGAGAGAACTGGGCTCTTTGTCTAATCCCTTCCTGCCCAGGTCTGGTGTCAGCCTGTTTGCCACCCCGCTGCCCGTTCCACAAAGGCAGTGCCCGGCTAGGTTTTTGTACATTGAGGGAAGGGGTCAGGCTGGCAGTGGTGCTTGTCGCCAGAGCTTGTTTCCGTATACCCCTGCCAAAGCGCTCGACAGAGGGCGGTGACTCAAAGAGCACAGCTAGAACATTGGGTGCCGAACATAAGGCCCTGCTGGACCGTGTTGCCCTGTTTGAAGTGTTCCTTTCATCTCTCCTTTACCTTTTCTCTCTCTCGCACACATGCACATGCGATCAAGATGCCCTCTTTTTTTTTGTCTAATTTCAGAGTAACTGTGGCGAGGTGTTGCGGATTCGGCGGGTTCTGATGAACTGCCCGGAGATCATCAGCATTGGCCTGGTGTGGGACTCAGATCACTCTGATCTAGCTGAAGATGTCATCCACAGCCTGGGCACGTGCCTGCGGTTGGGTGATGTAAGACTCTTGCATTCACGGACAGCACACTATCATTGTTCCTTTTTGTTGACACTTCAACGCAGTAACCTTGAGCTTCCAGCTCCCCTTCTCTTATGCACAGTTCAGGACAAGAGGAGGAAGCACAGTGTACTCTTTGTCACATTCAATATCTCCGTGGCCCCACTAGTGTTACAGCATTCTCACATACTTCACAGCAGGGTTGTGTGCCATTCTGTGTCACACGGAATGCAGAACTTGAATTTAAGTGAACAAAAAATAGAATGAAATTCAAAGACTAATATAACAATTTTTTTCATACACACAGCATATGACGTAATGGCTGCCTTATATTCAGCTTTTCCATCACAGGAATAAATTGTATTTTAAAATAGAAAACAATTGTAATAATATTCCATAATATTACTGTTTTACTACAGTTTTGATCAAATAAATGCAGCCTTGGGGAGCATAAGAGAGTTTCAATAAATGACCCAAAGCGGAAGTGAATGGTAATAATAATAATAATAATACAAATATTAACAGCAACATTTATTTTTATTATTAGTATTAAATTGTTTATACAATGATTGTTGTTAATGCTATTTTTATATTTAATAAAGTATTATTTACTGTATGTTAGTAATAAGAACACTTAATTTTCCAAAATGTTATCGTTTACTCGATGTATTATGTATTTTTATGTTTGTTTTTATAAAGTTGCATTTTATTTTATGAAATCTATTTTTATACCTGTCTTTTGAACTATCAAGAAATAAATGTGTAATTAGCCCAGATTAATTATATCATTATGTTTTGTTGCTAAAACAATGTGTTAAACTAATGAAATCGTTCTGTTATGTGACTATTAAGTTTATCTTTAATTGCAACTTTTTTTTTTTAAAGATTTAAATTACATCAATTACATCTCAATTTATTTTAAATTCACACTCATTAATTGAAAGGGAGCCAATTTTTTAATACATTTTTTTAATCCTGTTCTGCATGGACTTTTTTTTTTTTCTTTTTGAGATTCCCTCTTATGAACTTGTGTTCCCTTTCAGTCAGTCACGTTCGACGTTACGTCAGTCGTGACTGACGAATTGGGATCTCGCCCGAGAGCCCAATCACCTTCGAGTGTTAACTAAACAAGCCAATGAC